AGGGGCAGGGAAACATCTCGCCCGGCTCTGGTTTGATCATTCTGCGGGGAATGTTTCAAAAAACAACAACAGAAAAAAAGGCTACTCAGCAGTTCCGCGTGCATTTGGGGAGGGGGTGGGGGGGGCGCCCGCATCTGACCGCAAGGGAGGCCCGGGCCGCATCTGTGGACATGCGAGCAGTCCAAGCAGCTTGGCGTTGATCAAAGTTTTTGTCACCTTCAATCTAAAGACGGCAGACACGATTGACGTTTGGAAGTCGGCGCAACGACGTAACGCGCACACGCTGAGCGGGCCCGCCTGCCCATCCGGCTCTTTGACGCTCGGCTCGGCCCTCGCGAAGGTTGTCCGAGGAAAACCTCCGAAGGCCTTTTAGCTGGCAGGATTGCAACAGGGAAGGAGGGGGGGGGGGCTGCAATGTTGAACTTTGTACCGTTTGGGAAAGGTGGATTTATTGAGGTCTTTTTTTCTTCTGGGGGTCTTTCTGCCCTCATCATCCAAAGTGAAACAGTTCAAGGCTTGACCGATTTCACTTTGCGAGCGGTGAACTCATCCTCACGCGCGAGTTTCCCTTCTTGAAACAAATGTGGACGCCCCCCTCGATGTCGCCCTTTCTCTGCAGCCCCCTTTTTCCGTGCATTAGTACTTGTCAGGTCCATCAATTTGACATTCAGACATAAAAAACAAGGAGGAGACAGAGACTCAATTCTGATACCAGGGGGGGCGGGGAGAAGCGTTAGGTTTCGGTTCTCTGCACGTCACCCGAGGATCTCCCCGCTCGCCCTCGCCTTTCTTGCCAATCGACGACATGGGCGTGTCCAACCCAAACCGTTGAAGACGCACTCGACTTGTTGGACGACGTGAGTGAAAATGACGTAACGTGTGCGCAGTCGTTCCAAAGACCCCGAGTTGCGGCCGGCGTGGACGGCTCCGTCCGCGTCCGACCTTGCTCCTGTTTTGTCTCCATACTTGTCTCTTTCCAACCGCTTTCTCGGAAAGGTGCTCGCGTCCCTCAACTGCCGCCCGGTGCGCGAAGCATTCTTATAAACGTGAGCATATCTTCCTTCAAAGCGTTATATTTTCATGGAAAGCAGAAGCGTTCTTCATTGCAAGCATAATCAATTTATCATGAATAATATGCAACTAAAAACAAGCAACCTAACGGCACGTTATGTGATCTGGATCGAGTTTCCATCCATTGGCACACATGAGCCGGCGTCGCCAACGTTTTGGTTTCCGCGTGGGTTCGCGAAGCCAATCAGAAGTGCAAAAGAAAGACAGTTGAGCTGAGATCGTCCTAAATGACTCGCCACGTCGATTTACAGTGCGCGCCTCTCTCACCGAGTCTGGGGAAGAAAAAAAAAAATCCCTGCAACCCCCCCATCCCACACACACACACACACACTTGGCCTACTCGTTGACAAGACCGATGCGTGCGCTTTGCGTGTGTCCTCAGATGTGCGTCCAACTAATGCGGATGTTCAGTCAGTGGCAGCAGGGGGCGCTGCAGCAACTGTCGCACTCGATCCACCTGCTGACACAGAAGCAGGCGCCCAGGGCAAAGGTCACGGCGCCGCCCGGGCAGTCAGACTCGGACAGCGATGGCCCAACTCAGGTGAGGTCACACGCGCTCGCCGATTGTCTTCCCTACGCACTCCAGCTGTCACTCACGAATATTTGTG